GGGCCTTTCCCTGTTTAGATCCACACGAAACTATCTCCAAATTTGAATTCACTACACTGGGCCTGATCGAGATGAAGCCAAGTGATAAAGCACGATACAACACAATAAGTTGCATTGAGAAAAAAGATGAAGAGATCCTGGATAGGAAAGACAAGGAGCAGGAGGAAGTTGCAAAGGACTTGGCCAAGATGGAGGGTCATACTACTGCGATGGAGGCGCCGTTGTATCAGTCATATAGGTATTTCCTCAATATATTACATATAAAATCATATCAAGTTTTTTATAAAATAATTGTTAGAATACATACATTGAAATAACAATTAGCAAATAATACATGTAAATAAAAATGTAAATAGAAAAGTGATGAAAATTAAAGAGAAGTACAGTGTTGAAAACATATAATAATTAAATTGTAATAAAGCGAGAGAATAATATAAGATTGATAATTGTTGAGATATGTGTGTGTGCGCGCGCGTTCAGATTGTATAAGAATATTCATATCTCCAAAAATTACAGAGTATATATAATTAACAAAATGCGAGCAAAAACTGAGATTCATCTTGGAATATCGGGCGAAAAGATAGAGATAGATCCAGTGATAACAGGCAAAGGTGCTGCCAGATTTTGGAATAGACAACGAGCAGTCAGTTATCACATAGACAACATCGCATGGTGCGAAGTGACCGAGACTAAGGGATCAAAAACTATATTTACGCTGGTTTATACCCCACAATCCAGCGCTCCGGATAATATTCTGAGTCAGTTATTTTCTTTTTGTATAATTACATATTGATCATTTTATTTCTTTCAAGGAAAAAAAGTTTTAAGAAAAATTATTTTTCGTGAATTTCTAATTTCAAATAAACTTTATGATTAAAATTAATATTTCATAGACCAATGTTTTAAATTTACTGATGGTATTATAGGTCAAAGCCATTCACTTCATCAATCAGCATCTTTTAAGAATCATGATTTCGAGGCGGATTCAGTGACAGCTGAGGAGATTGTACGAAAAATTAATCACATCCTAGAGCTACATAGCAGTCAGTCAAGGAAGGAATATCTCGCACAGAAGGAGAGGAAAGCAGCAAGAAGAAAGAGCTTCCATCTGCATAGATGACAGCTTTATTGGTTATTCCGTACAATCTTAGATTATTTAAAGCATTGAATATTAGTATATCATAAAACATGATCGTAAGAGTCACTCTAAGAAATATCTTTTCATCACAACCGAGTTAATATCTCGAATTTCGTTGACATGCCAGAAATGGCGAGATGGAGAGAGAGAGAGAGAGAGAGAGAGAGAGAGAGAGAGAGAGAAGTAGAGGTCTTCTCCATATTCCATAGATATAAAGTTTAATGCTGTATAATATTGGTAAATTATTTTGTATTTATTATATTTCATCTAGTATATATATATATAATTATTAATGTAAATGCACCACAATCACACAAATAAGTATTGTATAATCAATCGTGCTTAGTGTTGTCATATTTAATTAATTTAAGTGTTATTTATATTTTTATTATGATGCTCCTATTGTCTGTAAATTTATAGAATTGAAAAAATAAACAATTCCTAAAACTATTGCTGATCTGTTTCATTGTTCTGAGATTTCAATAACATTCACAGTAGCCTTTGATATATTATTCTTCATTCTTTCCATGAATTTCTCATTCAATTTATGTACGTGTTGACTAAGCTTAGATATTTTTAATGCTACATCTAATAATTTCTGACTATTTTTGCAGATGTGTTCATAATTGGGACGTGTAAAGACAAAAGCTCTTTCAGCTTCTGTCAGTACATTTATGTCGAGATTCTGTCCCTGTCTCTCCGTGCTTGTTTTCTGCTTGGTCAAGTTCTTCCGTTGAGTTTTGCGATTTCTATACTCCTGTTGCCAGTCCTTTCGCTCCTGCCTGAGTTTATCTATATATTCCCTCAGATTAAAAGCCTCAACAGTATCCTTTGCATTGCATTCTTTTTCTTTTTGATTTGGTCTGTTTCTATTGGTTATAACTCCATTGTCATCTAAAAGACATATTTTGTTTATCATTATAATATTAATATATAACAATTTCATATTTTACATGGGGAATAAGTAAATACAAAATATATTTATCTGAAAGAAGACATAACTACCGTTACTGAGTCAGTTTCTTTTATGTCCACTTCCATACCAATGTAGATTAACTTTAATCTTGGTTCAACTTATTCTTCGTCTTTTTCTAGTTCTAAAGATTAGAAAAAGACAAGTAAATTGAACCAAGATTAAAGTTAATCTACGTTGGTGGAAATGGGCATTAGTAATTCTTTAAATATAGAAATTAATGTTTTAAGAATGAAATTGTTTATAAGAAACAATTATATTTACAAAAATAATATCGTTAATGGAGATAGGCCTATTCTGATCTTCAATTATTTTTAAATCAAATATTTCGACACGAAAATTTTTTTTATATGTCACTTCATAAACCTAACCTAACCTAACCTTTTTTATGATCGCAGGCTATAGAAAACCGTGCGTGGAAAACTGATGACCTGCGTTTGTGGATAGTTTTTTCAGATTTAAAGTCCTCATTAAAATTCGATACATCAACTGTAGTCATTATTGGGTAATTTGTTATAACAAAGAGTAATTTGTCGTTAATCGTGTTTACTTATATACAATTCGATGGAATAACATTTAATAACTTTCAAATTTCAAACAACTTCAAACGAACTCGAACTTTCGGCTTGAGCCTTGGGCCAGCTAGAGTTCTAGATTTATCAGAGAGGCGCAACCGGTGTTATGCATTCTGATTCGCTGTTACAATCTAACCAATTGCGTGACTTGGCAGCCATTTATAGTACAAGTGACATATTTCTATTTCATTTTATCCTATACATTTATCTCACATTATCCTAAGGTGCGTTCCGTATCGCGCATGATGTGCATGATGCATCCATTGTCCTTGTTTAACGTTTGGTGAGCAACAAGGATAAACGATGAGCATCATGCGAGAAACGGAACGCACCCCTACACGTCTTATCTTGTTTGACATAGTTTAAAGGCAGTTTCATAGCATGTCGGCCATGTTCAGTACTCTCCTTAGCATCTTTGTCATACTGACTTAAGCCGGTTGCGCCTCTCTGATAAATCTAGGACTCTAGGGCCAGCTAATTTCTAAAGTACCCAGTGTTGTCAGGTGCTTTCGTCGATTTTCCTCTAAAACAACCTCGGAATCTCTCTAAATCTCCCTAAGTGCGCTCAAAAAAAAACCCTAGATTTCTCTCTAAAGCTGGAAACATAATAAACACAGGCAATAGGCACAGGCAACAGAGAATAACGAA